CTGCCTGGAACACGTTCATTCGTTTTGAATAGCTCGTGAATAGCGCATGCGTTGATATCATTTTGTAAACTCTCAGAATAGGCGTATTCTGCGCATGTGCAAACAGCCACGCTATATCTCTAAACAAAATTTTTGAAAATGAGTAAACGATTAGCCGTAGTCGCTTAGAATAAACAATAATTTGAATAATTTCTGTCTATACTTTGGCCAAAAAAGAAATATCTTGGTTGCTCACAAGAAAACACGAGAAAAAATCTCAACAGATGTAACTTATTAATTTTAACGAAAATGAATTAGAGTGAGGTTGCTACCAGAATACGCAACTGTACATATCTGTGTTCGTTTAAATCATACAGAATTCTTGTTGATATGAATTCTCGAATTTCAAATTGACTGCAGCCTAGCTCTGAGAATACACTGCAAAATAATGTAGATAAAGGCTTAATCGCGTTTCTGATTCTGGCCTTAATTTCCTACAAAACGGCATTTTAATGGAGGTCAGCAGTAGTCTGACACGTCTCTGCAGCCTTTTGAACGATGTCAGATCAGATGAACATCTCGCCAACGCAATTGTTTCACTCGAATCAATCAATTTTTCAGAGAAATTTATTGAAAATTTATAGCATTACCACACACACACACACACACACACACACACACACACACACACACACACACACACACACACACACACACATACATATATATATATATATATATATATATATATATATATATATTCGACTCTCTCGTCGTATGAGGGTCAAGCAGCCCAGTTACTCAGAACCGACAGCCAGACACCAGCACATATGATTTGATTATAGCGGTGAGGGTTTTGTGCAGAACCATCCACAATTTTTGAAGTGACGAATACAGAGACCTGGTGAACTTCGTGCCACAGGGTCCCCAAACGACCAAACTGACTTAGGCAAGGAATGAAATAAATTTTTATTTGACTTGAAACTATGAAGTCGATTAATGGGATAAGTCCATTGCACATTTATTGATATATATATATATATATATATATATATGGTATCTTCTTTTTTTCGGGTGGGGGTTTCACTATTTGCCCATAGCTGGGACACCCTGCCGGATCTGAGGCCTTGGGAACAACAGCAATTAAGAGGTGTTTTATGCTCTTGAAAACATCCGAATCTGATCAGAAGCTTTACTGCCTGATGTAGTTTATCGTCTTACCCAGGACTAGATTTTACGGGAAGAAGAGTTTCAACGGTATATGGCCGTATGCAGAAACAAAGAAAAGAGCGCTGAATTCTTATGCAATATCATCTCCCCTATGGCAAGGAATCCTGGACAATCACGCCACAGATGAAGAAGAAATGGTTCTGCTGATTAATTCTGAAAACACTACGGAGAAAACATGTAAGCAAAATGAAAGTTTTAATGAAATTTGGAACAAACAACACAAGTGTTGCTTACAAGAAGAGATAGCTGGACTTTTTGGAATACGTAGCGAGAAAAGATCTACTGGGTAATTTGATATTCAGAGGGCATACTGAAGGAAAAGCTGAGGCAATCAGTGAGTTAAAATGATTGAATTTCAGTAAATCGTCGGAGAAACGATATACTATAAAACACCGGGAGTTTTTTTTAGAGTAACCTGTAAGATATGGAGAGTAATAACCACACAAGTCCGTATTTGTAAATCTAATGGCAACCTCTTCTCTATAAGGAAACATCTGATATTCATTAACCAAACAGTTATGCCGATTGGTTAGAACGTTCGCTTTCTGACTCAGGGATCCGGGTTCAAATAACACCATTGTAGATTTGGAAGCTGACTTCTTGATGTTAGTGGTCTGGGGGAGGTGATCACATTCTGCGGCATCTTTAGAAAGTGCCTGAAAAACAATACCCAATCCTTGTGAGAGAAATTGGGTAGAAGTTACCCTGGGGAGCCGATGGTGATTTTTCTAGCACGAAGTTACAAGTCATCGTGACCGAGAGTTTGAGCGCGCTGGCCTTGTTCAGACTGCTGATCACGTTAGATAACGCGCTCTCTCCCAGAAACTGTAACTAAGGTTCGCTCAGCATAGTTGCAGTATGAATCACAGGTGGGCTCTGTGGGTGTTGAACAAACATAAATGCCTGGTCAGGCGTCTGCAATGGCGATTATCTAGTTTTTCAGCAAAACAAGTTCATCACATCCACTAACTTTTGTACCTCTTTCTAGTATTGATAGCCTAGCATCTAGGCCATAAAAATCTCCTGAGCCGACCAAGCATAAAAATGAATACAATATGGGAACTACCAATATTGAGTGCAAGAAAAAAGCAATAAGAACAACAAAATTGTAATATGAACTCTGGTAAAAAAAAAGGTTACTGAGACATTAAGTTTATAAGTACCCAAAATTCATACATTGATGTGCTCATGGACGCATGACCCAGTGGATAAAATCATTTATATCAAAACAACACATTCTTACTTACTATTCTTACTAGAACCATCATAGCATCTCAAAGCCTCTTAACTAGTTCTCATATGTACAATTTGTCTGAGGGGATAAAAATAATAACATTAATAAATGAAACCCGACTGAATATTTACAATGATTACAAATTATATTATAGAGGAATATTGGTCAGAATAACTACCATGAAAGTATTTATAGAAAACACCCGGGGACAGTGGAAAAAGAGACAGAAGTCAAGATGCCAGTTCAGGACCAATAAAACTGCAGATTCTTCTTTTGATTTTATCAAGAATCTCTAAATACATAGCAGAAGCAAAAGACCAGATATGGCAGCAATATTCAAAGCAAGAACGAATGGTAGACTTATAAATATGTAAGATAGTTTCTGATGAGGAAAATTTCCTAGCACGACATCCTGAACCAAAATTCTTTGCTGCAGACTTAGCAATGGATTCAATATAATCTTTCAACATGATGTCAGCTGAAAACGTTAGTCCGAGAAGGCGTAATGATTCAATCTTCTGGTGGTTAGCATCAGCCATACTGATGGAAGATTAAAAGGGTTCTTTCAGATGTTTAAAAGCGAGTATTTTCGTTTTTGAGGTGTTAAAATTAACAAGCAATTTCTTGCCCCATTTAACAACAGATTGGTGGTCCTTTTTTTTTTAGACCAGCTGCTAATTTGACCTTATGGGGCCGATCAGACATAGAGTAAATAGTGTGTTATTAGCAAAGATATCGAGTTAAGAACTAATGACATCAGGAAATCCTTTTATAAAAATCAGAAACAACGTATGTCAAAATATGTATTTATTAATTTTCCTTGATACAAGCAAAAGAAACTTTGAAATAAGTCTTCTTAAAGGTTGGTATCTGAAATTTAGATATACCACCAGGAATCTTTATTTTTAAGAGTTGGTTATTTCTCATTGGACGATATGAATGATACGCCATAAAGGAATTCTCCGTTTTTTTTTTTGTTTTGTTTTGTTTTGTTTTTTAAGTTGGCAAACAGCAAACGGAATATTAAGAAAGAGAGTGTCTTTGTAGAATTACCATAGAAATTATGATAACAAGGACGAAAAGAAAAGAGAAAAAGTGATGAGATTTGATATTCGTAAAGAAATGTTGCTTCCGTCTTTGGAGTACCGATGGGTGAAAATAAAATGCGGGTCGGTTAAGGGTAAGAATAGATTGAACACTAAAACACCAGTCACTATTCAGCAAACATGTGAATGGCTTAGTTTAAAGAAAATGGTATCTTTGTTTGCAACGGCACGAGATACCGGTGACTTTTAACAGATGTTTTGATGAAAATGGAATTGACACTTCAATAGGTACATTGATGCAAACGTGTGCACGAATGCAAAAAGACTGTATTTCACATTTTTTTTTACGAAAGCTCTTAATGTATTCGTTATGATGATAACGTCATCCTAAATACGAGTGGCTCTAAAAGAAATATCAGCGGTCGAATTGACCGAACTGATATCAAAACAGAAAATTGCATCGTCTATAATGTTTACACACTTGGCAATAGCTAAAACCAGTGAACGAAATCCGACAATCGAGTTCGATATCTGGTGAATGTTTTTATATGTTCCAATGGCAAGCATATTTAGAAAGAGGCATGGACTCATTATAATTTGTGAGTTCGAAGACTGTCAGTTAATTGCCATAAGTGATACATCTTTGGGCGATCATGTTTCTTTTGATTGATGATCGACGAGGGAGAATATTTTCTCGCAGTAGGTTGCATTTCTTACTGCGATAGACTGCTTGCCAGCCAAGGCTACAAGATCCAGTATGTCATCAACAGATAAAATTGCATCATCTATAATGTTTGCACCCTTCGTAACAGCTAAAACCGGTGGACGAACTCGGAAGTTCGATTTTTGGTGAAGATTTTTATATGTTCTTTTGGTAAAAACATTTAGATTAATGCCCGTCGGGAGAGAAGATTTTCTCGCACTAGATAACCAGTTATTTTTGCGATAGACTGGGTGCCAGCCAGGGCTACAGGATCCAGTCTGTCATACTATTTAGCTTAACACCATTCCCAATGTTATTTGCGCGTAAGTGATTGTAATGAACTCGCCTGGAATTCGAACCCGGCTCTCCGATTTCTCATTCTGGGCCGTTATCCACTACACCACGCCACACATCATTACATTTCAAAATTACTAGAATTACTGAACGTTGAGAATTTGGGTGATGGGGATATTTGATAAAAGCCTTACACATAAATATCTTACTATCCAGGAACTATGTGGCGTGTCCCTTCAAAAACTAGAGAATAAAGGCTCTCTCCGTTTCCCTATGGTTATTGTAGCCCTAAGCAATGTATGACCATTTAATATCACATGCTGTTCATGTTCTGTCATCCATTTACACAAGCCAGGTACGACAGTCATGTTGATCTCTGCATCCATCAGACCCGTTTACCTTCAACATGTTCTCTGAGTCTTATATTCATCAAACTGACCCGTTTACCTTTAGTATGTTCACTGAGTCTCACATTCCCCAATCGTCTTTACCATCAAACCCGTTTACCTTCGATATGTTCTCTGAGTCTCAAATTCCCCAATCATCTTTACCATCTAACCCGTTTACCTTCGATATGTTCTCTGAGTCTCAAATTCCCCAATCATCTTTACCATCTAACCCGTTTACCTTCGATATGTTCTCTGAGTCTCACATTTCCCAATCATCTTTACTATGTGACCCGTTTACCTTTAGTATGTTCACTGAGTCTCACATTCCCCAATCGTCTTTACCATCAAACCCGTTTACCTTCGATATGTTCTCTGAGTCTCAAATTCCCCAATCATCTTTACCATCTAACCCGTTTACCTTCGATATGTTCTCTGAGTCTCAAATTCCCCAATCATCTTTACCATCTAACCCGTTTACCTTCGATATGTTCTCTGAGTCTCACATTTCCCAATCATCTTTACTATGTGACCCGTTTACCTTCAGCATGTTCTCTGAGTCTCACATTCCCCAATCGTCTTTACCATCAAACCCGTTTACCTTCGATATGTTCTCTGAATCTCACATTCGCCAATCATCTTTACTATCTGTCCCGTTTACTTTCAACATGTTCTCTGAGTCTCAAATTCCCCAATCATCTTTACCATCTAACCCGTTTACCTTTGATATGTTCTTTGAGTCTCTTCTTAATTCCAAGATATCTTGTGAGTATCACATTTTCTAAACCTTCTTTCCTTATTATGTGTCCTCGAATAAAGAATAAGTGTCTCTTTTGATTTCCATTTCCCTTCTAATTTCCTTAATAGATGACAGGACATGAACAGAATAGGATATATGGTCACACATTAAATCCGATTAGAAGAGGCATCCTTGTCACACGATCCTTTCTAGTTTTGTACGCTTGCTCAATTCATTTTCTATTCAAGCGGTTTGTTCTCAGTAAATGTTCTAGATTATTCTAATAACTTTCCAAAATAAATAAAGTTTCCCTAGTAGTTCAAATAGATCTTTGTGTTGTACTTTATCAGCTGTTTTTGCGTAGCCTTTTGAACCTTGTCATATACAGAAGACGTACTGTCCTCAGGGTCGGGCATTCCTCTGCTTCAGACACGTCAACGATACCTAAAAGAGGTTTTGATGCCATTCCACACAACTAAGCAGACTGAATACAATTATTTGTCTGTTCGGGATATTCAGATAAATACTATTTCTAATCATCAAAGACGTGTACACAAATTCTTTTGCTACATGTGTTTCTCTCTCCCCCCTCTCTCTCTCTCTCGTTCTCTCTCGTTCTCTCTCTCTCTCCATTCCCTGTTTTATAGTATATTTTTTTTACAACGAGCCGTGTTCAGTATTTCAAACGATTCATTGTTTTCACGATTAAAATATATATCCGATATCATAATAAAAAGATAAGTGAACGAACGATTGTGTGAACAAAAAGGCACATAACAGCATATTTCAAGAAATTGTCACTTCTTCTTATTATTATTATTCTTTTCTTTCTTTTTTCTTCTTCTTCTTTTCTTCTTCTTTTTTCTTCTTCTTCTCTTTCTTTTCTTCTTCTTTTTTCTTCCACTTCTTCTTTTTCTTCTTTCTTCTTCTTTTACTCTTTCTTTTTTCTTCTTCTTTTCTACTTCTTTTTTCTTCCACTTCTTCTTTTCTTCTTCTTTTTTCTTCTTCTTCTTCTTTTTATTTTTCTTCTTCTTTCTTCCACTTCCTCTTCTTCTTCTTCTTCTTCTCTTTATTTTTCTTCTTCTTTTCTTCTTTTTTCTTCCACTTCTTTTCTTCTTCTTTCTTCTTCTTCTTCTTCTTCTTCTTCTTCTCTTTATTTTTCTTCTTCTTTTCTTCTTTTTTCTTCCACTTCTTCTTTTTCTTCTTCTTTTTTCTTATTTCTTCTTCTTCTTTTACTCTTTCTTTTTTCTTCTTCTTTTCTACTTCTTTTTTCTTCCATTTCTTCTTTTTCTTCTTTTTTCTTCTTCTTTTTTTCTTCTTCTTCTTCGCTTTCTTTTTTCTTCTTCTTTTTTCTCCTTTTTCTTCTTCTTTTTCTTCTTCTTTTCCTTCTTATTCTTTTCTTTCTTCTTCTTTTCTTTCTTCTTCTTTTCCTTCTTCTTTTCCTTCTTCTTTTCTTCTTTTTGTTCTTTTTTCTTCTTATTCTTTTTCCTCTCATTTTCTTCTTCTTCTTTCTCCTTCTTTTTTCCTTCTTTTTCTTTTCTTTTCACCGTCCCACTCTTCATTTAAACAAGGGCGTCAAGTAGCTTATTTGCTTTGTCCCTCTTAATTCCAATATGTCTTGTGAGTATCACATTTTCTGAACCTTCTTTCCTCATTATGTGTCCTCGAATTTCAACTGTCTTTTTCTGCTTCTAAGAATAAGCGTCCTTTTTGTTTTCCAATTCCCTTATACTTTCCTTGTTTCTGTCATGTTCCGCGTATAGAATTCTCAGCATGCTTCTGTAGAACTATATCTCCGTTGTCTCCAGCTTCATCTACATTTGCTTCCAGCATTCACTGCCATTTAGGAGAACTGATATTCTTTAGCTCTTCGTCATTATTTTTTTTTGTTTCAAATAAAATTCCTGTTTCTTAATAGTTTTTTTTTTTTAAGTCATCTTTCGCTATTCCAATGTCTCTTCGAATTTTGGTGTCATATTTTCTGTCCTCTGTTATAAATCTTCCCAGGGTTCTTGGAAAGTTACGTACTGGACATTTGCACCTTGGACTATTGCGTAGCAGACAATTCTCGTCTCTGGAAATTTGTGTCCATAGAAAAATGCGTCGCTGTATAATTGCGTAACTGTGATAATTTGCTGGAGATTTTAATGCCATTTACCATTAATTTAAAAAATAAAAGCATAGATAGTAATCATAAATTTAAAAAAAAATGAATAAAATTAAAAGTTTATTTTTGTTTAAAATGCAATGACAGATTAACAGTGTTGCAAGATCGCTCTACACATCGACAGTATGTTTTCGTTTCGTCGGATATTCTCTGATGATAGCAGTAGCTGTAATTTTCCGCGTCCACAAATATTTTTCCACCAATTTTTGATTTTCGATTACTTAACCATGGGTTCCAAATAAAAATGTAATCTATAAAATCCAGAATCTATTAGATGTTTTTGAACTAAAGTTGTTAGCCTTATTTATCCAGAATTTACTCAAACACATGTTGTTTACCATATTGATCTTTCACAATTTATGACAATGACTGCAACAGTCGTAAATACTTGAATTTAACAAAATAATGAAATTAGAAAGTTGATTAACAATATTCATCCATTTAAAACACCTCAGACTGGAATTGGAAAGACAAAAATTTGAGCAGGCACAACTTGGAGCTATCTAAAATTCTTACTGTAAATCCCCATGTATAATACGCATTTTCTTCTAAAAAATAATTAGCAAAATCAGGGTTGCGTATTATGCTACAAAAACATCTTTAAAAAAATTGCCGTAAAATGAGTATTATCATAAAATTGAATTAGAAAAATATTATTCTATGTTTAAAACCAATTTTTAAGAGTAGGAAACGCTGGCCGTAAGGAAATTGGAGAGGTACAATTTATAGGGTTTGACTACCAAACAAGGGGTGCGTATTATGTGTGAGTAGAAGTATTTTCACACACTTCCAGCACAATTTTATATATATATATTTTAAAGTTTTATTGAAATTTTATTTAAATTTCCACATGTCCTCCATCATTAGCAATACAAAGGGTAATACGATTTTGTAGTTCACGGAAAACATTTGCCAACTGATTTACAGTAATGTCTGAAATCGCATTAGTTATACTTAAAACTTGGTACATTAAACTTTATAACATTTTTTACAGATTATTTCTCTCACAAAACAAATAAAGTTTTAATTTTTTTAAATGCACACGAACTTTATGGACACACTATATATATATATATATATATATATATATATATATATATATATATATATATATATATATATAAAAGTAAAATATACGGAAAAAACAAACAAAAAAAAATTCCACCTGAAAAAGACGATTATATATGAATTGAATATGGTCTATATTAATTATGTTTTATGAATATGTCCTGAAGATGGTCTATTAGACCGAAACGTCCGACGTTGACATTATATTAACATTAAAACAGCATAATTGCATATTAGGATTTTTGTTTGTTTTTTCCGTATATTTTTCTTCATACTGTTGGATCGATATCCATATATTTGCTTATATATATATATATATATATATATATATATATATATATATATATATATATAATTGGCTACAAAGAAGGAATTTTATTGTTATAAGAATGAATGGAATGTTAAAGACTTATTTGGGAATTATAAAACAGGTAGACTGAAACCACGATGTTAGTAATATCAGAAACAGAAAGCTACTTATGATAATGATGCGTCATAGATTTACAGACCATGTATTCGGCGTTGTTTCTCTGATTTTCTCGCTTAATGATTCCAGTGATATCGACGAAACAGACCGTTCTCTAGTTCTGATATCTTGTAGAAAGAAAGATACGCTTAAATAAAAATGCTTTCTCATTAACTGAATTGCCAAAGTCTGTCAAGAAATGCAGCGCCGCGTGTCCGTCTTCTAACTAATTATTGAGAACAGCATGTCTTTTAAGGTATCCTCTCTTTTGAATCTTGAATGGTATGCCGGTCAGATCTCTCCAGCAAATGTTAAGAGCAGACGAAAGATTGTTTCCATTTATTTTCTAAGGCTAAACAGTAGGTCTCTACTCTTGAAAAAAATTGGGGACACAATGACAAATGGATTATATTGAAGTTGAACGACAAAGAAATAATAGTAACAATTACCAAGAAAACGACTCTAATGTACCAGAACACTGGATCGTAACCCGGGTTGCGAAGTTGGTTGGCATTTTAGCCTTTTCTTAAATATCTGTACTCGACATGTTCGAATTTGAATTTTGTATTGAACACATTTTGTTGTTTATACCTTATAAAGGCGGCTGTTTTCAGATTTCCTTCTACATTTCTATCCATATATATATATTAAGATTATCGCACAAACTTTCATAACTAAATCAGTAAGCTCTCAGATCCTCATACGGCGAAACCGACGGGAGAGTCCATTATATATATATATATATATATATATATATATATATATATATATAAAAGTAATGAAATGTTTGATAATTCGTATGGATAATCCCAGATGGATGTAGTCCAGGAAGCTCAATGTCAAATCAGAGCAATTATTAATTCACACACACACACACACACACACACACATATATATATATAAATATATATATGAATTTATAATATGGGAAAAAATATGTATCAATATGGTGTTTTCTTTCATCTTTTAATCATGTTATTAAAAACATCAGACGATATGAAAATAATTTACATAAAATAGACAAAGCTTGTCTATATTATTTAATGAAACATGCACCACTGAAAAATGCTGTCTAAATACACACAATATATATATATATATATATATATATATATATATATATATATATATATATATATGTATATATGTATGTGAATGGTGCAGTATATATAATATTACAATGAAGTATACAATGAATAAATTAGTAAGGCTAATGTAATAAATGGCGAAATCACAAATTTAAAAAGTAAAAAGTATTTACCCATTAACAATTCGTTTTTACATGTTTCGTATGGTTCCATAAATTAGTACATTGAGTACTGTTTTGTTTGCACTATAACACACTTAAAGAAAACATATTTCTACTTTTATTACATTTATTTTCTTCTTGGATGTTACATGAAAACAGTTTTAAAAAAAAAAATAATATCCATTATCGTAAGTACTAGCATATTTATAACTGCCTCATTGTAATATATATATATATATATATATATATATATATGTATGTATGAAGAAATAAACTCTTAAGGCGTGCTATATTTATGGGATAAAGTGTTCAATATCAGAGATATAGCGTGTGTAAATATAAAAGTGAACATAGAAGTCAACGCTTAGAGGCGACAGGCAGTTTTCATGCTAGATGCAATTGTCACGCCTGACGATTGTGTCTAGCATCAAACAACCTGTCGCCTCTAAATGTTGACTTCGATGTTCACTTTTATATATATATATATATATATATATATATATATATATATATATATATATATATATATATATATGTGTGTAATAATTTCTGACCGTGTCTCCTTTCGAACTTTTGGATTGAGGAATTGGAGAGCCGAGTTCGAATTCCTGTCGTATCCATTACATTCACTTACGTGATAATACCCTTGGAAAAGGTGTGAATCCTCTTCTTCTCCCTCCAGCCATGGGTAAATAGCAGGACAGACTGGGTTCTATAGCCTTGGATGGCAACTAGATTAAGAGAAGGACAACTCTGTATTCAAAAACCTGTGGAGGGTCGTTTGGGGACCTTGTGGCACTTAGTGCACCAGGTCTCTGAATTCGGCCCTTCAAAAAGAGTGGATGGTCCTGCACGAAACCTTCACCACTATAATCAATTCTCATGTGCTGTTGTCGGTTTCCTGGGAACTGATCTGCTTGATCCTCATACCTCGAATTCGACAGGAGAGTCGATTATATATATATATATATATATATATATATATATATATATATATATATATATATATAAATGTAAATCTATTTCAACTTGGTGTGTGGTTAAACCCGGATAGTACAATTTTCAAATAAATTAGCATCCGAGTAAAATGAAAAAAAAAAAAAAGCACCAAACGCCCCTTCTGATTTTGTCCCTGACCCCGTCCAATGTAATAAGATTATCGACTATCCCATATTTTTTCTAACACTCGGCCTGCATCTTCCAATTCTGTGCATGAACATTTCCAATACCATAAATTATCCACTACATTCTCATTGTGTCATTGTACCATTCCGATACAACGAAGATTATCCACTATCCCATATCTCTAACTTTCTGTACCTTCTCATTCTCTCTTTGAACCCTTCCAATATAACTAAGTAATTTTTTTTATCTTCCTTTAATAAGCATACTAAGAATCTTGTCGGTGAATATGAGAGGGTCCTTTTGAAAATAAGTATACATAAATTGCCTAAATTATAAATATACAAAACTTCTCTAAATTATAAAATGAGAGATGCTATATATATATATATATATATATATATATATATATATATATGTGTGTGTGTGTGTGTGTGTGTGTGCGTGTGTGTGTATACACAAACACACACACATATATATTTGTGTGCAATTTATATTGTATATCGG